TCCGCAAGCACAACTAGGTGAAAACACACACACGCGCCTCAACAAACGCTCGCGCGCGCCTGCACACACAAGCAGTTCTCTACACGAGTTGACAAGAAGTTCTCGTCTATGAACCTTTTTCTCCCAAATATTTGCTTCTTTTTGTCTTCGCCTCAGCTGAGAGTGTTCTAACAGCTGTATCTCCTGATGCATCTTAACCCCCTTTGAGAAAGTTTGGAAAGGCTGGAGACACCAAACTTTAAAGGCTGTTCGTAAGAGTGGAGGAATGTCTCAGTGATAGTTCAGGATTGTTCCCTGCCTCTCTCCGCCTCCTGTCTTACCATGGGCAATGCTGCAGACACTTTAAGGACATTTTCATTCTGAAAAAATAGCATAAGATAGCATATCTATAAACAAATCCACAAGGGCCGTGACGAGGATTCGAACCTGCGTCCAAGAGCATCCCAGACGCTGCCTTAATCCTTTATTTGATGCATTACGTTAGTGTGGTTTCTGTGTGTAATGTATACCTATGCTGTAAGAATGTCTGTCTGTTCAAAGTTGGTGGTGAGATGTTTTGAGGCTAGTCTTACCTTGTGTTGCTTTCGGGGCTTAACGTCCCCGCGGCCCGGTCGCGGGGACTTCTTATCCTCCTTGGATAAGGAGGCCCAGGCCTCCTTATCCAAGCCTTCCTTACTTCTTAGCCTTATCCAAATTTGCAGGGGAATGGTTTGGGGTACTGGACGGACATAGGCTGTCGCGGGTAGGCCTAAATTTAAATGATTTAAGGAATATTAGAAGTCACACACATCTCCATCCGCTCTCACCGATTCAGTTTTGGTTAAGTGGGAAATATATAGGTTGAGATTCACGAAGAGTCTTTCATCGTAAAATAATTATTTCCTTATACAATTCAGTAGTTTCACTTGCTTAATATTATATTATATATGAGAGGGGGGAGAGGGGAAGCGATCGAGGACTACTCCATTAACCTGCTATAATATCCTAGATGACAACCTAGATGATAACCTGCTATAATATCCTAGATGATAACCTAGATGATAACCTGCTATAATATCCTAGATGATAACCTACATGATAACCTGCTATAATATTCTATGACAACCTAGATGATAACCTGCTATAATATCCTAGATGATAACCTGCTATAATATCCTAGATGATAACCTGCTATAATATCCTAGATGATAACCTGCTATAATATCCTAGATGATAACCTGCTATAATATCCTAGATGATAACCTGCTATAATATCCTAGATGACAACCTACATGATAACCTTAATTTTTGTCTTTTAATACAAGATAAATCATATTAAATACTACAATATATAAAACTAATGTTATTACTATATTAGTCGACTGCCGTTTTCATTATTAAAATAACATTTTTAATATATTTACTGAGCAGCATGACATTTATAACGCGACATATATATTTAAAAGTTTATTAATGAGTTGTACAAATCATTACAGGTGTGTCTGGAAAATAGCTATTGTATAAAGTTCAAGTTCTGTACTTGAAACATCGGCACAAATATATTTAATTGATTGTGCAAGTTTAGCAGTGTTCTTGAACATTGAACAAATCCACAAGGGCCGTGACGAGGATTCGAACCTGCGTCCGAGAGCATCCCAGACGCTGACTTAATCGACTGAGCTACGAAAATGGTTTTTTGACCATGTCGTAGCTCAGTCGTTTAAGGCAGCGTCTGGGATGCTCTTGGACGCAGGTTCGAATCCTGGTCACGGCCCTTGTGGAGTTGTTCATACGAAGATGTTAAACACATTGAACATAATCTTACTTAAGCCAACATTCGAGTCAAGGACTCTCGTTGAAGACAGAAATGTGTAACACTTAAGGTATGAGTGGATCTAGTCCACTTGATTGTTTCAAGCGTAGGTTAGACATGTATATGAGTGGGATTGGGTGGATATAAGAGGATCTGCCTCGTATGGGCCAATAGTTCTTCTGCAGTTACCGTCATTCTTATGTTCTTATACATCTCTATGCTCAAAAAACTGTAACATGTATTAATGAAGACTTCAACAATCTCTCAAGTAATGATGCATTACAGAATAAAATCATAAAACACATCTTTTTTGTGTTTTAAGTGTTAGCCAAAATTAATAAAAATAAAACAATAAATACGATTAAAATTGTGAGAGCCAAACTGTCCTCTCGCTTAATACCAAACAATTTTAACTCCGTCGACCTTAACGTAAACAAATATTGTGGTTTAGTAAATTAAAAACACAGCAAAATTTACGCTTAACTTCAGTAGCGAACATCGACCAATATTACATAGGTGGGTTGCCTGAATTCTTATTCTCCTAGTTAGGCAAAACCACTTCAAATTTTACGGAAGACATCCCAAGACCGGACTGGCGGGAGAGGAGAGTGTGGGAAGCAGGGAGAGGAGGGAAGGTCTGGGCCGGATGGAACCTATCCGAGCGTGGTCCAGGACCCAACCCTCCGGTAAAACACAATCAATTGTCTGATGTACTGGAAAAGTAGATAGAATGTAGAGCGGAGCTTTGAGGGCGCCAGCAGCTCGCACTGACGTGGATTGGGGCCTTAAGAATGGTTATGCCTGGCTTGTCCAAGGCTTGGGACCTGGCTTGTCGTAGAAAATGGTTTGAATTGGCTTGTCGTCGTCTGGGCTCAGGATAGGTAGGCTCAGTTTGACTTGTTGCAGGATGGGGCAAGGTTAGCCTGGCTTGTCGGAGGCTGAAGCACACTCAGTGTTACTATCATTAATTGGGCTGAGTGGCTTGTAGTCTGCGACAGGATCAATGTGGCTTTTCATTGGTCGGAGCCGGCTTAATATGGGGGTCTTCGGGCTTCATTGAACTGCCGACAACAACGGCTGTTTCGATAGCGTCGAGCAACCGATATATAAGTACAATAGGAAGGAGGTTTGATGGTCTGAAAATAGGGAGGTCTGAAAACAACATGAGAGGTGGAATAATAGGACCCTTGAGGGGGTCCAGATACGACGGAGTTCTCTTACAGGTCTGAAAGTGGCCCCAGTTCATATACATGGTCTGAAAGTGGCCCCAGTTCCCATACATGGTCTGAAAGTGGCCCCAGTTCATATACATGGTCTGAAAGTGGCCCCAGTTCCCATACATGGTCTGAAAGTGGCCCCAGTTCCCATACATGGGGACTAATGTCTCTAGAGCTGACTAGTCTCCATATATGTGGGTCTAACCAATACCTGATATGGTCCGAAGGTATTTACATACATGTATATATTTTACGATAGCTTAATGTGGTGTTCTAAAGCTTTATATGATATCCTAAAGCTTAATGTGCTGTACTGAAGTTTAATACTGTGCCCTAGAGCTTATTGTGAAATCCTAAATTTTTTGTGATATCCTGAAGCTTATTGTGATATCCTAAAGCTTATTGAGGTATAAGGCACAAAAATCACAATAGCGTGATGCACCAAATGAACAAATCCACAAGGGCCGTGATGAGGGTTCGAACCTACGTCAGGGATGATCCCAGACACGCCTCCGGTCTGTGCTTCGGAGAAGCTGTGGACCTGAGGCCAGTAGCACTTATTCATATTCTTTATCTTAACCACAATCTTTATACCTAACCACATTAGCCTACGGATATCTCTCCTGTAATCCGGTTGGAATCAAAGTTTCTATTTGTTCTCAGTAAATGTTTAAATCTCAGAGATCATATGTACTTTTTAAATGAATTAGACGTGAGAAGAGAAGTAACTCAAGCTCCTGCTTAAAGCTGGAAGCTATCTTTGTTCTAGGGAGGAAAACTCAGGGGAAACAGAGAGAAAACTCATGAACCTGCTACAATGAAGGCCCGGTTGCTCGAGTGTCTGGGTGCCTGTGGAGTAATGTTTATACTCGTGTCCTTCTGCGGGAGGAAATCGACGGGGGTCGAGGCGCCCCGGAGCACTCATACGACTCGACTCTAGTCCGCTGGGAAATCACACATGGTCGTCAGAATATTCCTAAGGTCGCCGCTACACAGAATTTGCCTGTCCATAGGCGACACAGTCACCCCACATCCACCCTTACCTCCAGCCACTCATTCACTCACTCACACACTCTCACTCACTCACAATACACTCACACACACTCTCTCTTTACTCGCTCGCTCTATATAATTTAGAGACAGCGCTCTCGGAACATAGTTTACCGACTTATAGTTATGTTAAGTTAGATTTGATCAAATTTCTGTTAGTTTTGATTACAATAACATTAAATTGCAATCATGTTTATTCAATGAAAATTTTTCATTTCTTAAGAAAACATTTGTGAGAATTTAATATTTCGCGAATATTTGTTGTATTATTGGCTTGAATAAACAATCTAAATTTGGCTTGTTAGACCCCACTGCAAGTGCTGTGAGTGAAGAAGCTGTGGAAGCCACCTCCAGCCTCAACTTTAGGGACAATTAAACTATTTTAAATCTTAAAATAGTTTAGCTATAACGCAGCAAGAACAAACGTAAATAAACACAACTAATAAGGTAAGGAATTACGAAAAAATATAAAAAGATAATTTATTATAATTTATTTTTCTATAAATATAAAAATATAATTTATTAAAAGATGTAAAATTAAGCCTTTATTTTACAGTTTGTTCCTCGCAGTGTTGAAGTGTGATGACTTCTCGATTAGGAATCCAACAGCACATCTTCTGATGTTGCTCCCAGCTATCTTGAAATGATCTTGAGATGATTTCGGGGCTTTTAGTGTCCCCGCGGCCCGGTCCTCGACCAGGCCTCCACCCCCAGGAAGCTGCCCGTGACAGCTCACTAACACCCAGGTACCTATTTTACTGCTAGGTAACAGGGGGCATAGGGTGAAAGAAACTCTGCCCATTGTTTCTCGCCGGCGCCTGGGATCGAACCCAAGACCACAGGATCACAAGTCCAGCGTGCTGTCCGCTCGGCCGACCGGCTCCCCGAACTTCAGCTATGCTGAAGTTTTTCCCTAGGAATCCAATTGTTCACTTTGGAATCTAGATAATAACGCAGTTCTTACTTAGACCATCGAAAGGAGTACCCGGTGTACTAGGAGTCCTACAGCGCTGCTCAGGGTGTTGATCTCCATCCATAGTGCGTTGAAGGTCCACGTCTTCCTGTAGCTCTGATGGGTTTGTGTCGATGACCTGCTGTAGCCGACGCAGAAGGTCAGGGAGTGAGGGGCGGCACAGAGGGTTGGGATGCATGGCTGCCTGTATTACCTTCCCCATTGACGGGTACTGACTGGGCGACGCGTTCAAGATCTCAGACATGAGGACCCCGTAGGAGTAAACATCAGACGCAGAGCTACTACATCCTTCCTCGAACATTTCCGGGGGATGTTTTGTGGTGACATTTGGTTCCACAAACAGCAAGACACTTTCATCTGTGGTGCAGGCCATTCCGAAATCAATGATACTGATTTCTGGATTATGGGGTGGGCCTCGGACTATAATATTGCTACCTTTAATGTCGTTATGTACGATTCCAGCCTCGTGGACTTCTTGTAATTTCTTCCCAACTTGTAGTCCGAGGTCGATTAAGTTGTATTCTGGGTTGTTAAACAAATTCTGAAGCGTCCGACTACCCTTGTAGGTGATCAGGAGAGCGAAGGGATTAACTGCCACACCCAGCAGCAAGGGGGCGCCACCTGCGCCCTTCAGTACCGTCAAAATGTTGGCTTCCCTGCTGAAACATTTGGAAAACAAAGAAGACTTCGAGACTTTCAGTGCTGCAAGCTCTCCCCGCCACTCCACTAACACAACTACTCCATACGTCCCGGAGCCCAGGAACTTTCTCCTGTGTCTTAGCAAGCGACTGGCGACATTTCCGTTAAACTGCTCCATATTGTCGACGGAAAAAAGTACTGAAGAACTCTCAATACCCTTAATGACGGTAATATTAAACAATACGCTTTCCTGTGTAATCAGAAGGGATTTCTGAAGATATTTCTTGCTATCCGAAATGGTCGATTATAAAATCACGTTATGAAAGACTGATTGATAGAGATTAAGACACCGCAAGAGGTGGCACGGGTATGAATAGCCCCTAAGTGCTGATTGTCTTTCACTCTATGCCGGACTAATTGATCTAGAAAGGCAATTTATAATAACAGGAAGTGAGGAGTCGGGTGAACTGCAAGGACTAAGAAAACTTTAGGATTCCTCTTGACCCATAAGAATATATGAAAATAAGAATCAATGAAATAGCAGAAGGCCTATTGGCCCATACGAGGCAGTTCCAATTAATACCCACCCGATCTCATTCATAAATATGTCTAACCTACGCTTGAAACAATCAAGGAATATTACTACTATTATGTTACGCGGTAATTGGTTACACAAATCAACACGCCTGTTACCGTATAAGTATTTACCCTGGTTAACCAAGATTTATTTATCCGAATTCTTGTTCTAAACTGACTACGCCATTCTTTATCCTTTTGTACCAAGCTCTCCTTCTACTTATAAGGTGCAGGAGATGAGTCACAATAACGTGGCTAAAGTATGTTGACCAGACCGCACACACTCGACGTGAGAATGGTCCAGGACGGACCGAAACGTCGTCTACCTATAAGGTGCTTCACATCCTTTATTATCCATTTCAAGTCATTAGTATTCGATCTATTCAATATGTATGGTATACTACGTTCCTGTGCTTTGCTTAGAATATTTATAAATAAGTTATATTTTGAATCCACATCGAAATCCATTTCATATCACCCATCGCTGGGTTCACGTCTCGCTCCAAGATCGGCCCACACCCCCATGCCCAAAACTTTTCAATTTATTTCACCCAAAAAATATCTTAGGCTATACGAGTCCAGCGTAGGATAACAAAGTTAATCGCTCAAATTACAAACCTGTCTTATGAAAAAAAAATTGACAAAGCTTAAATTAAATTCTCTAGAAAGGCAAAGAACTAAGGGTGACATGATAGAGGTGAACAAGTGGATGAATGGGCATAACAAAGGGGATTTTAATATATTAAAAGTATACCCAAGAAACAATGGGTATCAATTGGATAAGTTTAGATTTAGGAAAGAGTTGGGTAATGCTGACATATGTAAAGTTTTGAGGCTAGGTAATGATGATAGAGTTACAAGGTACGAGCTGGATGATGTTGAGATTGCGAAGTCGGATTGCGAAAGGGATCTGGGAGTTATGATTAGTAAGAATTTAAAACCCAAAAATCAATGCATAAATGTTCGTAATAAGGCTAATAGGACACTGGGATTTATTAATCGAAGCGTTACTAATAAGATACCTGGTGTTGTTCTTCAGCTATATCTAGCTCTGGTTAGGCCCCATTTAGATTATGCAGTTCAGATTTGGTCGCCGTACTATAGAATGGATATAAATTCCCTAGAACGCGTCCAGCATAGGATGACAAAGTTAATCTGTTGACCAATCCACACACTAGAAAGTGAAGGGACGACGACGTTTCGGTCCGTCCTGGACCATTCTCAAATCGATTATCGTCTTGAGAATGGTCCAGTACTGACCGAAACGTCGTCGTCCTTTCACTTTCTAGTGTGTGGTCTGGTCAACATGGTATTACATCTTTAATGTAATTATGTTTAATTACATTAAAAATGTAATTAAACATCCGTTGGTTCATGTTTAACAAATTTGCGATAATTTTATTTCAGCATAGTTGAGGCAGTTGATAGTGGTAAGGTTTGTGTTGTGTACCTTGACACAACAAGGTACACAACATGTACCTTGTTGTACCTTGTACCTTTTTTACCTGTACCTTTGTACCTTGGCCTTGCAAAGGTACAAAGGCCTTGTACAGTGCAAAGTACAAAAGATCACATGAATTTAACCACATGAAAGACATTAAAAAGATAGAGGCTCATGGTATTGGGGGTGCTATATTAAGTTGGATTACACAGTAACACCGAGAGGGTGATCAACCACACCCAAATTACACTCCTTCCGCGCCGTGGGAAGAGCCTACTTTCAAAATAGTAATAGAAAGTCTCCCAATGAAAAAGGCTGCCTATGATCCGACAATCCTAAGGCGCATAATAGAAGAGCAAATGTATAGATAGCGTAGCAGTAGCAGGAGCCACCCACATCTTCACAGACGGATCGGTGGACACAGAATATGAGAGTGCTGGCGCTGCTCTTTGCACGACCAGCGTACAGGCATATTGGAGACTGGGAGGACTAGTATCATCAACCCAAACTGAGCTGTTTGCCATACAACAGGCATTCGCATATGTGATTGCACAAAACACTCAAAATGCAATCATACACACAGACTCAAAAGCTGCACTTCAAATACTAGGACAAAAACAGTGGAAAGATAATGTGGAAATAATTACCACCATTTTGTATCATAAGAACATAAGAACATAAGAACAAAGGTAACTGCAGAAGGCCTATTGGCCCATACGAGGCAGCTCCTATTCTATAACCACCCAATCCCACTCATATACTTGTCCAACCCGTGCTTGAAACAATCGAGGGACCCCACCTCCACAATGTTACGCGGCAATTGGTTCCACAAATCAACAACCCTGTTACTGAACCAGTATTTACCCAAGTCTTTCCTAAATCTAAACTTATCCAATTTATATCCATTGTTTCGTGTTCTGTCCTGTGTTGATACTTTTAATACCCTATTAATATCCCCCCGGTTATGTCCATTCATCCACTTGTAAACCTCTATCATGTCACCCCTAACTCTTCGCCTTTCCAGTGAATGCAACTTAAGCTTTGTTAATCTTTCTTCATATGAAAGATTTCTAATTTGGGGAATTAACTTAGTCATCCTACGCTGGACACGTTCTAGTGAATTTATATCCATTCTATAATATGGCGACCAAAACTGAACTGCATAATCTAAATGGGGCCTAACTAGAGCAAGATATAACTTGAGAACCACACCAGGTGTCTTGTTACTAACGCTGCGATTAATAAATCCAAGTGTCCGATTTGCCTTATTAAGAACATTTATGCATTGATCCTTTTGTTTTAAATTCTTACTAATCATAACTCCCAGATCCCTTTCGCAATCCGACTTCGCAATCACAACACCATCTAGCTCGTATCTTGTAACTCTATCATCATTACCTAACCTTAGAACTTTACATTTATCAGCATTAAACTGCATCTGCCAATCCTTTGACCATTTCAAAACCCTATCTAGATCAACTTGAAGTGATAGTGAGTCCTCCTCCGAATTAATTTCCCTACCGATTTTCGTATCATCGGCAAATTTGCAAATGTTGCTACTCAAACCTGAATCTAAATCATTTATATATATTATAAACAACAGAGGTCCCAGGACAGAGCCTTGAGGCACTCCACTTACAACATTTTCCCACTCTGACTTGATTCCATTTATACTAACTCTCTGTTTCCTTTGGTATAGCCATGCCCTAATCCAGCTTAATATAGCACCCCCAATACCATGAGACTCTATTTTTTTAATCAGTCTTTCATGTGGCACTGTATCAAAAGCTTTGCTAAAGTCAAGGTATACAACATCGCAATCCTTACCACTATCAACTGCCTCAACAATGCTAGAATAAAAAGATAACAAATTTGTTAAACATGAACGGCCATTTATAAAACCATGTTGCGACTCAATTATTAATTTATGTTTTTCAAGATGAAGACGAATTTTATTTGCTATTATAGATTCGAGTAACTTTCCCACAATAGACGTTAGGCTAATTGGTCGATAGTTAGACGCAAGTGATCTATCTCCTTTCTTAAAAACTGGTATCACATTAGCAACTTTCCAAAACTCTGGCACTCTGCCTGACTCTATTGATTTATTAAATATGGTTGACAGTGGGTCACAAAGCTCCTCTTTGCATTCTTTAAGCACCCTAGCAAACACTTCATCCGGCCCTGGGGATTTGTTTGGTTTGAGTTTTACTATTTGTTTAAGAACATCCTCCCTGGTAACTGCTAAACTCGTCAACCTGTCCTCGTCCCCACCCACATAGACTTGTTCGGCTGAAGGCATATTGTTAAGTTCCTCTTTAGTAAATACAGATACAAAATATTTATTAAAAATACTACTCATCTCTTCATCACTATCTGTTATTTGACCTGTCTCAGTTTTTAATGGACCTATCCTTTCCCTAGTCTTAGTACGATATAACTGAAAAAACCCTTTAGGATTTGTCTTTGCTTGCCCTGCTATGCGAACTTCATAGTTTCTTTTTGCTTTCCTTATCTCTTTTTTAACATTTCTAACCAGTTGTACGAATTCCTGTTCTAAAGTGACCTCCCCATTTTTAATCCTTCCCCATTTTTAATCCTTGGAGTATCTTGGAGCAGTCGCTAAAGGCAAAGGACTCAACATAACCTTAAACTGGATCCCATCCCATATTGGAATCCTATTAAATGAAAAAGCTGATGAAATTGCTAAATTGGCAACTCGTCATCCAGTGACACATAAAACAATTCAACCCAGCCTAGAGAACAACCCAGCCTAGAGAACAACCCAGCCTAGAGAACAACCCAGCCTAGAGAACAACCCAGCCTAGAGAACAACCCAGCCTAGAGAACATAAAAAACATCATCACCAAAAAACTCTCACATCTCAACAAAGCCTACCTGCACCAGAGAATAGCTGAAGGTTCGCCATCTGCAACATGGTATCTTCAGGCAACCAAATTAGAAAGGTTAAATATCCCAAAAGGAATCCACAGGGAAATAGCAGTTAGGTTATATAGACTACGTCTAGGTTACAGATGCAACTGGGAGATTGGTGAACCCCGACAGAGAGAGTGCATCTTCTGCCAAACTGTCACAGAAAAGCCATTACTTCACTATCTTCTGGAATGTGAAGCAACCAACGACCTTAGAAGAGCTTTAAG